GAGAAAACAAAAGCTTTCCTGCATCTCCTGCGTCGTGGCTCTATACCCCGGCGCAACCCTCTTTTTAGCCCACTTAGGCCCTGAATCGCGCGGCTAGGTAGACTGGGTTTAGTTTTAGCATTTCTTTATCCGCACGTTCCTGCGGCTTCGACAAAAGCATAGCCTTTGTCGTTCACACCCGATACCCCCGGACGTCACATGCGTCCGGACTAAAGTCCGAAAACTCTTAGTTTCTCAGTCATAGGTCAGGTATGAATAAACGTTTGGCAAACGTCAATCTCATCAAGTCCTTCAATTCAACGCAAGAGTCGGACAACGTCCGACGTTCAAAATCACCGGCAAATACCCTTGTCAGGGTTTTTGCCCCGACAGCAATCCCAAACCCCATTGAAGGACGTCCCCGTCGTTCACCCGATATTGGTCAATAATATAGGGCTCTCTGGATTTTTATGGAACTCATTTAACAAAATTTCTTTCAATCGAAATAAGTCGAAGCTTATAACTAAAATCCGAGTTATTGCCTCGGTAATCTAAAATTCAATCATCCTTGATTGGAATGGTACCAGATGTAGCCTCTGGCAAGCCTTTCACCAAAACCTGAATTTATACCGGTTCAAGTTGCGGAATCACTAAAATATTCAAGAAACTTTGTCTAAATGGTCCCAGCATCATCCCACTGGCGGCAACTCTAAACATTATTTAGTCTCTCAGAATGGTACCGGAAATAGCCTCCGGCTAGCCTTCTAAACCTCAGTCGGCTAATATTTACATTTATCTAAAAAAGGTCGAGCTTAACCCCCTGACGGGTATTTCAAAATAAATAACCTTCTGAGCGGCCCAGACAGAATATGAACCAACCATTCATGAGAGAAACCATTTATCAAAAGTCCTTGTCCAGGTTTTGTATGCTATTCCAATTACGAGTTATCACATATGACATTTTTCCTGCATGCTTTGTGATATGCATCGAGGAGTGGTGTAATCCTCAAGGGATAACATCTTGACGTCAAGCCCCAATTTAGACTCGAGTCTCACCACCTTCCCTCCGATTCCAATATCATGTGCTTGTCAGTCCCCTACCTGCAAGGTTGAACTACCCTTTCTCTATGACCTAGGCTGGTCAGACCCGGACATAAAGGCGAGGCGACCCCATTCGTCACAAGGTTAAGGTGACCACTCCTTCCCCCATGACGAGAGGCAGTCGTCACCCTTATAAGCAAGATTCCAACAATTACAATAATACCTTCCTCCCTTTCAATGATAGTGTAGTCACCCTCCTTAAAAAGGAAAAGTGACAGCATCCAACTATGGACCAGAAACAAGTTCCGGCGTAGGCCTCACTACCATCTATGGAGCTCACTGCATCAGGACTCATCATAACGTGATAACTTAAAAAACATTACGAAAGTTATAGGCTATGATAAATAATTGCATTACATGCTTTGTGAATAACTCACGGAGTTATCCTTCAAGCCATATAATGCAAATTACATATCATCTTCCTATAACTTTTTACAACAAGAATATACATCAAATAACAACATACATTTTTTACAGAGAGTTCCGTAACATTCCACTCCAAAAAAAATATTCATAAATTTGCATTGCAGCACATTTCACCGAAAAAGTAACAATAAATCATTCAAATTTAGGAATCATTTTTTTTTTTTTTTTTTTTTTTTTTTGGATCCAACATCACAACGTAATTCCACGAACAAGGGTCGTATAATTTATTAATTATACAAAAACATGGAACCATAGGTCCAAGAATTAAAATCAAATCCCAAGAGTCTAAAGTTATAATTTCCTTGTCTGTCCTCAGAACCAGTCAACAATTAGTGATCCCAAAAGAAATAAAAGAGGAAAAGCAAGTTCTAAAAAAGAAGTCTATAAAAAAAAAAACCCTTTTTCTAAGTCTTTGGAATAAATTTTTTCAAATGCGATCCCGACACCCAATTTCTACCTTGAGCCTCATCCATCTCTTCGATCTCATAAGCCCCATGCTCAGATTTCCTGATAATACGATAGGGCCCCAACCATCGACTGTCTAATTTTCGAGACCATTGTTTTTTCAAGGACGAATCATAAAGAAGCACAATATCCCCAACTTCCAAAGGTTTCTTACGAACGTGAGGCCCCTTATCCCATCTTTCCTTTTTGGCCTGCCTACTCTCTGAAGTGGAGACAGCGGCCTCCTCAATCCTTTCCTCAGTGATCATCACTTGTCTTGCCCTCAATTCCAACAACTCCTCCGTTGAAAGTTTCGTTTCACATCCTGCTTTCTCCAAGAGGTAAGAAAACTTTCGATCGGAAAAGTTGCATGACGCCCAAACCACAATGTGACTGGAGCGTATCCAGTTGTCCGCTTTATGGTGACATTCTCAACAAAGAATGTCGTTCTCAGATATATCGGTCATCTTGAAGGATCGTCCCCGCACCATTTAGCCAACAAATTTGTTAGAGTGACATGTCCACGTTCAACTGACGCATTGGCCTGGGGATGTGCCCTTGTAGTATAGCTAAAGCTTACTCCAAGTTTCTTCAGAAGCGTCTGCACCTCCCCAGCCCGAAACTCACCACCTCGATCCATGACAATTTCCCGGACAAATGGGTATCGAAGATAATATTCCTCAATGCATTCTGCTAAAACATGCCCAGTACGCTTGCGAATGGCACAACGATCAACGAACCCAGTCAGATTATCTCTTGCGTTGAAGATATATCTGTACCGATTTATCCCAGGTGGCATGACCAACAGATCAAGGTGTACTATTGCTCCTTGCTCAACGACATAGCGTGGATTAAGAGGTTCAACAAAACGCATATTAGATCGCTTTTGGCAAGGAAGACAAGAGTTACAGAAGTCATTTACCATCTTGTTTATTCATTTCCAAAAATAAAGATGTTGAATTTTTTTCAAAGTGACTCGTGCCGACCTATGTCCGCCTGCGACCCCATCATGCAAAGCTGCAATCACATCAAGTTGTCGCGTAACCCCACATACCACYCTTCTCGGAATATCATCGTTGGATTTCTTGAAAAGATGACCATATCTTACAACAAAATCCTTGCTTTTCTGACGAACAACTGGATCCACCTCATCCTCCCTCAACTCACCATTCAACCACATTCCCATTAATTTATACTCCCCATCATACTCTCCTTCTCTGAAAGCTTCTCTGATTTCACTGCCTTCTGCTTCTTCATTCATCATTTTCAGGCGGTCCTCGTGAATTAGAGAATTCACAAGGAATGACATCTCTCCAGTGATCCTGAAAGTCTTATCAGCCTGCTCATGCCCATACTCAATCGTCAACGGCTCTTTAATGAGCTCGACTTCATCAGACAAAGCCAAGTTCATCATTTGCTCTGATGTTCTTTCACCCCATGGGTCTTCCTCAATGAACGGTTCCCCAATCACAAGCTCTGATCGCACATGATGGAAACAAGGAGCATTCCAGATGGTTTTCCCATGCCGGGTTGTTGCATCCGCCAAATAATTGTATGAGTTGATACTCAAGTGTGATTCTTCTCCTTCCAAGAATCCATCCACAGGGACTGAATCCTCAGCCTGATCCGTCGTTGAGTCCCAATCAACACGACTCAACCCATCTGCTCGATTCTGAGTGTCTGAAATGCGCTCAATCTCAAAATTGAACATCCAAATATATGTCAGCCATCGAGCAACGGTTGGATCAGAAGGAGAATAGTTCTTCAATGATTGAGCTAGAGCCGTAGGATCAACTCGCAGAATGAACCGCCTGGCAAATACATAATTTCTGAAAATACGCAGACAGTGAAGCACAGCGAGAGTTTTCTTCTTGAACTGGGATTAGTTTCGCTCAGTAATATTCAGAGTTCTGCTCTCGAACCTCAATGGCCGTTCCTGTCCTTCCCCATCCTTTTGGACCAAAAGTCATCCCAAAAAGGTAGGACCTGCATCGGTCTCGATGATGAAAGAACGGCCTTCAACATCATCAAAGCATGGAACTCCCAGAATCAGGCCGCCTTCTCGAAACTCAACTTTAATATCCTCAACGGCTGCCTGCTGCTTCGGTCCCCACTCCCAGACCTGATTCTTGCGTACTAACTTCCGCAAGTGTTCCACCCTTGCTGCGAATCTGCAGATAAAAATACGCCAAAATTCGCAAGTCCCGAGAAAACTCTGAATGTCGGTAATAGATCTGAAGGGAGTCGGCCACTCCAAAATCTTATTCGTCTTCTGGGCATTTGGCCGACGACCCTTCTCATCACAAAGGAAACCTAGTATTACCGCCTTCCTCATACCATGCCTCAATTTAACTCAGTAATATTCAGAGTTCTGCTCTCGAACCTCAATGGCCGTTCCCGTCCTTCCCCATCCTTTTGGACCAAAAGTCCTCCCAAAGCGGTAGGACCTGCATCGGTCTCGATGATGAAAGGACGGCCTTCAACATCATCAAAGCATGGAACTCCGAGAATCAGGCCGCCTTCTCGAAACTCAGCTTTAATATCCTTAACGGCTGCCTGCTGCTTTGGTCCCCACTCCCAGACCTGATTCTTGCATACTAACTTCCGCAAGTGTTCCACCCTTGCTGCGAATCTGCGGATAAAAATAGGCCAAAATCCGCAAGTCCCGAGAAAACTCCGAATGTCGGTAATAGATCTGAAGGGAGTCGGCCACTCCAAAATCTTATTCGTCTTCTGGGCATTTGGGCGACGACCCTTCTCATCACAAAGGAAACCTAATATTACCGCCTTCCTCGTACCATGCCTCGATTTAACCCCGCTAGCAGTGAGGTTATATTCCTTCAGTTTCCTCAGAACCTTTTCCACATTGCTGATGTGTTCCCACACGAACTTTCGAACGTCGGGTAACACTTCAGTCTCGTCCTTGACTCGAGGTCCTGGGATAGCCAAATCATCAATATATGGAGAAGTCACGTCCAGACAAAACGGCTGCATGACTCTCATCATATATCTCTGCACAATTGCCACGACATTTGTCAAACCTTGTGGAGCCGCGCACATATGAAGCAGTCCCCGAGGCGTATGCATCGCCGTCATAGGTCGATTCGCTGTGTACAGCGGGAACTGATCATACCCTGAATATAAATCAATTAGGGTGATGATGGGTCTGCCTGCACAAGATTCCGAGAGTTGATCGGCGTTCGGAAGTCCGCCCGCATCTCAGACTGTTACAAAATTCAACTTTTGCAGGTCCTGAACCCATCGCAAAACACCGTTCGGCTTGATAAAGCAGAACCAAGGAGACGCATACGGCCCATACGAATAGTCTGCCACTTTGGTCCGAATCTTACCATCAAGATAATCCACCACCTTCCGGTGATCGTCTGGATTCGGATATATCGTGCGCCTCTCATATTCCATGGCTCATGCGGTACCGTATGAATCCGGATCATTGGAATCATATCGACGTCCAGCCTTCCACGCTCATCATCATCAAAAGCATAAGCAAGATGAACTTTCTTCATAACGTCGATAAAAAATTGGATTTCCTCCTTAGTAAGGAGGCCATCCTCTCCAATGATCATCTCCTTGACCCTGTCATCCGTCAATCGACACGGCCCCTTCTCACCTTTCTCCTTCAACGTTCTGATCCACTCGCGTTCTTCCTTATAATACACTTCCTTTTCCTGAGTGATCAGAACTGGCACTGGTCGCGCCTTCTCTCCTACTTTCTTATACTTCCTCTTGGACCCAACGCTGAGTTTCTGTCGCCTAAAAAAAACTCTTGCCTGGCTGATGGCAGTGATTCCTCCATGCGAGATTCATTTGGCCGATAAACAAGATGCATGGTTCCTGCACCTTCCTTGTCAACCACAACCTCCATCAGGGCATGTACCAGGCTCGGATCAATTGTAGGATGGCTTGCTGCAAAATCGACTGCCTGTGAGATACTTGGCAATGTCAATGAAAAATCCTGAGGATCCCTTCGCCTCTTTCTCCCTCCTCAACTTCTCAGACTCTAAGAAGGTATATGATTCGGGATTCAACCGGTTCCTTGAATTTGCTGGTCCGGTATTCGCACATTTTACCACTTCATAATAGCCGCAAACCGGATCGCATAAAGCTATAAACATGGTGTCGTCATACTTGTTGAAGATTATGCTCTCTGTGCGACATTGAAAGGATCTTCCCAAAAACACTTCGTGTTCAACCTTTGACAATATATAAAAATATGATCTCGCTTTTACCTTCCCAACTGTGACCATTACGCCACTAGCCGTACCGCAAAATGGCGTTGCCCCACGGACTCCAATCAAAAATCCAAAGTCATTGCGATTGATCTGAATCCCAGCTTCAATCGCATGCCTCTCTCTCATGATGTTCATTTCGGCCCCATCATCTACGAGAGCAGAAAATTCTCCACGGCCAATCTGAACTTTGATGAGACCAGTGGCTACACATCGCCAATCCATTTTTGTGCCAGGAGGCGCTCAGTTAGCCTCTGAGGGATGATCTCGCTCAACTTGACTGTCATGACTTTCTTCCGAGTCATGCGCTGCTTAAATTCCTCGCGGAGCTTCTGCGATACTGCAAGAATCTCCTTCAAGGTAACCAGATCACGCTGACTTTCCAGAATACGATCCACCAGTTGTTCAAAATCAATCCCTTATTCAACAGGGATTGAGTACACGTTCTTCTTTTTACGAGGTTCTTCTTCCTCGATCTGGGTTTTCTCTGCTTCCGACGCCCTTTCCATAGCTCTCTGCTTTGCTAGCAGTTTATCCTCTGCTTGCAATCTTTCATCCTCCTCATCATCATCCCCTTCTTCTACCTGAATAGGTTCTTTTTCCTGAGGTTCCTTTGAACTTTCTCCTGGCGCAGGCTGCGATTGTGAGGTCTTCCTTCCTTTCCTCGTCTGCACCATGACGGTTGGCATCCCTCGCTTGAGTACAGGTCTGGACATCATCATTGGTCGTGTCATCGGCGTTGCTTCAGGTGTCGAAGCGGCCGCAGGTGCTGACCTGTCCTGACCTTCTTTCCCCCATCCACCAACAAGGAACACATTAGGAAGATTCGACCAGACTTCTTCCATGTTAACACATAATTGAACAATGAAATCTTGACATTTGCCCAGTTTCTTCGTCACTTCTCGCGCCCGATGAGCAATGTCTTCTTTCTTTTCCTCCAACTCTTTTTCGTCACACCCACCAATCTCCAGAGAAGCCATTATTTCTTCCAACTCAAAAAGGCTTGCTTCTTCAAGAGAAGCCAACCGGAATGTAGCCGGAAGAGGACGGCCCATCCGTCGAAAAACCTCTTTTCTCATTCCTCCTTCAATATCCTGATCGATAAGGTTTCCCTCCAAGTCAAAGACTTCTCCTCGAATCGTCGTGAAGACAATATGGTCCTTCTTGTCCTTGGCGAGAATATGGCAGAAACGAATAACATGTCCCTTCATATCGCAATATTTGCAGACGTATTCCTGCCAGTTTCCACGTCCGCCTCAAATTTCCGCGGCCTCTACCACGGCCTCGACCACCCTGTGGTTGAGTCTGTTGACCTTGATTTTGTTGTCCTTGGTCAACCTGTCGCTCCCCGCTTCCATTTCCTTCGTTCTTGCTGCTTTCTCCTTGTTTACGAGAAGTACCTTGCCCTCCTCGTATCTGGTTCAAGGCTTTCCTCTCAGCCTTGGTCAACTTACGAGGGGGTTCCCTTTCCTCCTCGCTCTCACTCTCACTGCTACTCTCTTCAGTGACAGGCTCCTTCCCTTTTCTCTTCCCAGTTTTCGCCTTAGCCATCATTACTTGAAGCTTCAACCGCTCTTCTTTCATGCCGGTCATCATTTCCTTCATGTCAGATAAGGTCTTATAGACTTCCCTGTCCTTATCTGTTCCCAACTGTATCCTCTCTCGATTCTCCTTCTGCTGTTTCAGCAATCGGTAGAGGATCTGATCAAAGTTCCCGGCCAATAAATTCTCTCGAATTTTTGGCCAATCATACCGCTCTTTCATTCTCGTCACCAATTTGAGCTGCTCCACTTCCGTGAAATTATCCAGGAAGATGAGGCAACGATCCTTGTCTGGAAGGTCAGGAACTAACCTTGCCACCCGCTCGAATTCAGTAAGGAACTGCTTTGTTGTACCAAAGCTTTTCCGACTAACCTTCCTCAAATCGGTCAAGTCCAACAGTTGATCGCTCAACTGGTACTTTTCTAGCAGCTTCCTTTTGAATTTTTCCCAGTCCAACGAATCTTCTACCAACTCCTCTACCTCTTCCTTGTACTGGATCTTGCAGTATCTTTTCACCATTCGCAGCATCTTTTCATTCGACCATTCGCAACAACTTCCCAATTGCTCGAACTTTTCTGCCCATCCCGAGGTGTTGTTACCATCAAACAATGGAACGTCAATCTTCGGGATTTGATCCTTCTGGGACTGCTGAATAATTCTTGCAAGCTCCCGAATGTCATTGCTTCTCCCATCCTGATTGTCGTTGTTACCAGCCATCTTGAGTGAAGAAAAACAACAACATATTATCAGAAATCAGTCAATCCTTCTGCATAAAATAATATCTCATAATTTTGGGATCAATTTACTGACTTTTTCTGAGGTCAAACAAGAAAAAGAAAATAACTTTTTACTCCATAAATCACCCAAGTGTCGTTCCGCTAGGGACAACGGTAGTTTGCCGTTATCCCTGGCAACGGCGCCACATGTCGAGCGCATCGGCCCTCGCGTGAAAACGAGGGCCCTCCGGCCATGTCACGCAGAAGTCTACCTAAAAACATAACTTTTAGAAACAGCTCGGGAACGACGCATACTGTTCCGTGAACCGCCGAGACGGACGCGGTTCCTTTGCTCCTTCGCCACTCTAGCCGGATGCGCCAGCTATACATCCCACGGTCCCCTACGACAGGACAGGTTCCCGCGGGGCATAAGCTTGCATCCCTAAGGGGCTGTCACCACCCTTAGGGGCGTATCCCTACCGAGCTACTGATCCACATGCGGAAACTTTTAAATGCAATCGCAGAGGTAGATCAGCCGAGGGCGTTTGCTCGTCTCGCTGCAGTATAGGAATTGTTTGACTGAACACCGAATGAACACGTGCGTCGTTCGTTCCCTGGAGCGCTGATCTCCCAAGTACGAAGAGTACCGTCGGTCGACTAAGACAGTCTCAACCAAGTGTGAAAACAATCCTTAGCCCCTAGCAGTAAAAAATAACGAAAATCCCTCATACCTTAAAACGAAAACCACACAACCCAAAATCCTTGACTTGATGAGCTGGTTTGCCAAAGTGTCATTTTTT